AAGAGCGGGCAGAGCCGCCGGGTACTTACATGTCGTCGGGATGTACATTTTCCTCCGCTTCCCCAGGAGCATCCGTGTCATGCTTTTCCCCTTCCCCTTTCCTAAACGCGGCAGAGCGAAGCGCTCCCGGAGGGAGCGAGCCCCGCCGAGCGCTGCCGGCGGTGCGAGTCCTGCTTGCCGGACTTGCCCATCGCCCCCGCCGTGCCTGGCGTGGGAAGGGGCCCGGGGAGGGCGGGGGGATGCGGGGCCCCTCAGCCCCACGCCCGCGGGTCCCTCCCCCGCGCAGCCCCCACCATCGGCGGGGCTCGGGATGCGGAGCGCCGGTACCGGGGGACGGGTGCCGGCAGCCAATGGGCGCCACGCACGGAAACACCGGCAGGAGAAGGAGGGGATGGAGGGGATGGACGGCAGGGCAGGAGAACAAAGATGAGCGGGGGGAGATACCGGGTTGGAGAATAGAAGCGGGAGAGGGAGGCGCAAGGAGATGGGCAGAGGGATAAGGGGAGAGCAGAAGAGGGGAGGATGAAGGAATGAGGAGTGAGGTAAAAGAAGCTGAAGACAGCGGAGGGAAGAGGAAGAAGAGAGGGATGCAGAGAGCAGCTATGTGGTGAGAGAGTGGCTTGCAGGAGGGGGCGACTTGGCTCGGCTCTCCTAGCCTGGGTCTAAAATCCAAACCTACTTGGACAACTTTATGTGCAGCCAGTGCTGCTGAAAGGAGAGCCGATGAAGGCACTACAGGACTTCAAAGCTGTCAGGCCTCTTTAGGCTAGAACTTGGCCACAATGCTGTCTGGAGACACAGAAGAGAGAGGAGTCCTCATTGGGGAAGGATTGGCATGGGTAGCACCCAGAGGTTTTCTTCACCAGGGCAGGCATCTGGAGCACCCTGCAAGAGCCCCCAAGCTCCTTTGTTAGAGGAAACAGAGCCATGTAACTGCACAGCACCACACAGCCCTGCTAACCCTTGCAGGACTTGTTAGCATAAGCAGTGTCATAAGATCACAAATTCCAGGTCTCCAGGTCACATCCTCAGTGCTCTGAGTTGTGTCCCATTCTCCAGTGGGGGGCTATGCAAACTGCTTCAATTGTGTTGGGATGAGAGCTCAGCCTGTGCACCTCCACAGGTAGGCTGATACATGAATTTTGTTTCACACACATCTTATGCATTGCTGTACTTGATAGGGGATGGGGCAGACTGAAAAAGTAAAAGCCAAGGCTTGAAAACTGGAGAGAAGTAATAAATCACTGGGAATATATTGCGTTGAGTCATGCTTAAGATGCTTAAGAGAGGTCAGACCCCATTTTCAAGTACTTCATGTCCCTTGCCCTTTCACAGGGATATGCCCATACCAGAGGCTTCATTTTTACTCTTCTGGAGTTACATTGACATCATTTACATTACCTTTGGATGGGCCTGGGCAATTCATCCAGCAGCCCACGTGCAGTGCAGATATGTGCAGAACACCCTGCCACAGGGTGCCTGCCAGGGTTGCTGTGAACTTTTTCAGCAGGTAATGTGTCACATCACTGAATTAACTGCCTTATTCATACCTGACCATGAACTGAAATTGCAGAAATTTCCCTGGCAGCAGGGTACCTCGGGAGCTTCACTGTGTCTGGTTGTACCTGGCATCACCAGTGCACCTCCTCAGTGCAGGAAGCAGCCTTTGAAGCTCAGAAGTGTTGCTGCATCCAGGAACAGTAATCTGGCTCAACTCCATAGTTTCTCTGTGCCCTCCTAGGACTGCAGGATTTTGCAGTGCCAATCATCACACCCTGAGCCCTCCTCTCTCCTGCAAGTAGTGGCAGTAGCAGCCACCCTGTAACACTTACGCTCAAGTCCCTGCAATGCATCAGGAAAGCAGGTGCTCACAGCTGCCAGATCCATAGTACCACTGGGACCACTCTCCTCAGCTTAATTTTAGTGTCTTGGAGGCAATTTGTCTGGACTGGTGACTCATTCCTCCCTCTTTAATTTTTTTCCCTGCCCTCCCCCTTCCTATTCTCACTCTGCCTGTGTCTGATAATGTGAGAGTGCCAGAGCTTAGAAGGATTAATGCAGCAATGTTTTGGTGAAAAGATGTCCCCAGCAACCTGCGAGGGCAGTCCCCACAGAAAGAAGTCTGCGTTCAGGTGTCCCCTCCCAAAGCCCGCATCCCATCCTCTGTGTGGATCCCATCCTCTCAACTTTTCAGCTGAGAACTTAGGGCTCAGCTGAGAACTTAGCAGCTTGGAGGATGAACCAGGCCTGGTCTCATCAAACTACAGCTACTGGGGCTCACCAGGCTTCGTGTGGTGCTGCCTGGTTGTCGCTGCTGAAGGAGGGGCACAGCAGGGAGGGCCCTCCAGCCCAGCTGTCCCATTGCTCACGGCCGCAGGGCTGTGTCCCCCTGAGGTGCAACACATCACAGACACGACAAGAATGTACAGTTTATTGGGTCTCATTCTCTAAATTGTAACCCCAGGGGCCCCGCAAGGAAGGGAAGGGGCAGGTGGGCGGGTGAGGCGAGTGCAGGGACATTGTGTGAACAGACAAACCGGTGCTACAGACCCACAGCAGTCTTTCAAGTTCGCAGAAGTAAAAAGCAATGACCGCGCCAATGAGCTCCAGGCTGCTGGAGCCGTCACTCTCCTGTGTGCTGGGGAGCTCCTGGCATCAGGATGAGTCCGGGATCTATAGCCAAAAACATGACAGACCTCATAATACCAGCTCAACTATTTTCCTGCTCTCCCTCCCTCTGCTCTGGTGATGGTGGGTGTATGAAAAGACAGGGTCCAAACTAGCAGGCTCTCAGTCTTTCATCATTGTGGTGGGTTTAGCTCTGACCAGCTTTGACTCTTGTCCTGAAGCCTCTCTCCTCCCTCTGCTGCCTTGTACATAAGTGGAGGCAGGTAGAGACAATATGAGGATTAAAGGAGTCAGACAGAAGAAGCTGCCACTGGCCAAGGAACAACACAAAAAACCCTTCAGTGAGCTTGGTAAGAGGTAGGGCCACTGGCAATTGCCATGAATAAAGAACAGCATTTTCTTTTCCTATTTTTTTTTTTTTTTCTATAGGCAAAGGCTGTGGCTTCATAGGTTTCAGAGCAGGTCATCCCCAGGGCAGCCTGGATGTGGTTCCCTCTGTGACAGAAGCTGACAGTTCTTCTCTGTGAGGGCACACGTGGAAAATCCTAGGCTGCCCTACATCAAGAGATGGGAACAAACTTGCCCACAGTGAAGCAGAAAGGAGGGGGAAGTTGATCCTGGGTGCATCATCCCATGTCCTGTCCTTTCCCCAAGCAGGATTGGCTATCTCCCTCTCTCTCTTTGAAGGTGACAGCATTCCACAGCCTCACCAGGAACAGAGTGGCCCACTCTGGGCCAGGAAAGCACCACTGATGCCACTCCTGGGGATCCCTGTTAGACTTACTTGCTTAGAGGAGGCTGCATGCCCGTTTCTTTGTCCGGGTGGGCTGCGGGCACAGCACTGCTCGGATGGCCTCATCAAACACCGTCTTGAGGCCGCGCTGCGTCAAAGCCGAGCACTCGAGGTATTTCACAGAGTCTGTGGGGAGGAAGGGAGGTGGGGGCAGGCAGTGGGGATACCCAGGTTTCTGCTCCTTATGCTAGAAAGCACGGCACCTGGCTCTTGCCCAAGCTGAATAAACACATCTCAGGTGATCAAAGACATTACACGTTGTCAGGACACATTTCACTCACTCAGACAGTCTTGACTTCAGGGCAAAGCTTGCCAGATGCACTAGACCTGGGTTTGTCTATTGGCTACCCATGTAGCCAGAACAGAGCCATTGTGTGTCTGACCATGTCATCCTGGCCAGACACTCTCTCTCTGCTGAACTCCTTCAAGCTGTGTTTCTCACTCTCTCTCGTTCTGTGTGCCACATCTGAGAAGAGCTGGATGGTGGGTTGAGACACCCATACCTGGGATTACATGTATAAGCCCCAGCAGACAGAGGCAGGGACAGGAAACTGCAGTTACAACTCTTTCTGAGAGAGGTTAAAAGCCTCTCCTCTGCCTCTCTCCGGATATCGAGGAGTGGCCTCTGCCCACAGTGCGGCTGTGGCTTGCACAGAAAAAATATTGTCCCAGACAGGATAAGCAGAGTAAAGGGGGGGGAGAGTGTGAAAGTGTGTAGCTGTGTGTGTATGTGGAAGATGATGGCCAGAGAGAGGCAGAAAACTGAGGGCTGAGGCGTTGAGTCTTCCTCAAGAAGCAGATCTCCTTCCTGAGTCTCCTGAAGTGCATTTTGTCCCATGACCCTGGATGTGTCTCCTTGTGTCCCTCAGAGATACCACTGTGAGATACCGCTATAAAAACCTCGTTAAATTGAGGTGAAGCCCTTTTCTTCTGCCTTTCTCCTTTCAGTAGGTCCAAGATGATTCCCAAGCACGTACCTATTTCCTTGGCCAGAGCAAGACCCTGAGGATACGTTATGGGGGATAGCTTCTTCTCCTTCAGCTTCTCAATGGTGTCCTTGTCATCACGGAGATCCAGCTTTGTGCCCACGAGGATGATGGGAGTGCTTGGGCAGTGGTGCCTCACCTCAGGGAACCACTAACAATGGAGAAAAATGCCAAAGATGTGAGGTCACACGTGTGGGCATGCACATGGCAAAACAAAGAGGCACTCCTGAAAAAAATGTCAGCAAAGTAGCTAACAACTTGTCCTTTCTCACATCCATTGTTGGGCACTACAGCTTGGCCCAGGCCAGCTCCTGTTGCTGGGTCCTCAGGCAAAATCCCTGACAGGGAGCTCAAATTTTGTTACACCAAAAACACAAGCTGCTCTCTTCCTTTGACCCTCCTCACATCCAGGGAAGAACCTTAACATGGCAGGAGGGACATACTCTTGTTCTCCTGTTCACCAATCTCTCCCTTCTTCCCTCACTTCCCATCTAAAAGCTGTGGGTACCTGCTTCTTATACCCAATGGACCAGTCTGTGTCTGTGTGTCTGTGCTTTGACAGTCTTGGCTTAAAGATGCCATCAGAATACATGTCTGTGACCTGACAGCACAACAGACCAGCAGGATGAACGCTAGCCCATCAGTAGAGTTGCCCCCCTTTGAAATGA